AACCCTTTTATTGCTCAATATTTTATTTTTTGATTTAGTAAATTGTGCCACATTTTAGAGGATTCACAAGGAAAAACAGGATTTTGTGAGGTCACAGTGACCTTCACCTTCGACCACCAAATTCTGATCCGTTTGATTTTCAGTCCGACTGAACGCTTGTACCTAATATGAAAGGATTTCCTGGTGGTGTTCGCCCTATATTGGATTCACAAGGCAAAAAAAATAGTTTGACCTTCGACCATCAAAATCAAACCAGTTCATCCAAGAGTGCAACTGCGTGTTTGTGTATCAAAGCGTTCATGTTCACAGAAACACTGCACTCCTTGTAAACGTGATTAATAATAATAACTGCATCACGTTTCTCTCTTTGACCCCAGCCATGCTCTCCCTGTCAACTCCAGGCCCTCTCTGCCTGAGTCTTCTTCTCTTCCTGTCGTACCACTCCCCTGCTCTCTCCAGTTCTCAGAACGCCAGTGACTGTCACTCCGTCCCCAGGGCACAACCTGGCTGGGGAGGGTTTTGATGTGGTCACCATGAGACGGAAAGCAGCCTACCTGATCGACGTGAAGACCTACGTCAACTCAAGTGGACTCTGTACACTTGTGCGCAACTATCTGCAGGGCAACAAGATGCAGAAGGTAAACTGAGTCAGAGAAGCACCAAGTGGCTCATACGCATCGTATCGTTATAACCTTTGTCGGTCTCTCCTTTGCTTTCAGCTGCCTCTCTCTACAGTGCACTGGCGCTACTACACCCGCTGCCGAACCGGTTTTGGGGTGTGTGTGTGTGGGGGGGGGGTCCAACAACAAATCTTTGCCCCTGAACACTTTGATCCGGCCATGTCACTTGGTGGAGTGTCAGAGTCTCTAATGAACCGCCCCCCATGTGTTCGTGCCTCCTAGGGGGGGAGGTGGTTATGGTTTTCCTGTGAAGCGTAAACTCTGTGCGTAAAGGCGCACCTCCTGCAGCGCGCACCGGATTCCTCCCTTTGAATCCTCTGAGGTGCGGACAGTTTCAAACGACCTGGAGCCTGGAGGGCCGTGAAGAGGCCGCGTAAAAGATGTCTCCTCTGCCGCCTCCACCCGCCACACCCTGCGGGACGCGCTGCCTCACACACGTGCGTCTCATTACGCAGCGCTGACAGCGCCGAGGTTTCCGCTCCGAGGAGACGATGGAGGAGGAAAGTCTCTGACGCCTCTCCGCTTTCGTTGGGTCAGAAGTGCAGATCCGTCCGTCGCCTTTCGCCGTCCGCACGTCCTCAGCATTACGAGTCAGAAAAGTCCGTGATCTCTGCATGGAGTTGGGATTAAACTGGTGTCCGAATCTGAAATGTCTCAGGATTGGAAATGCTGCTCCACGCCTGTCTGTTGCTTTTTATTGTCACAACAGGTAACGACATCTGTCACTGCACCTCACAGCCTACACACTGTTGTTCAATTCATTTGCTCTCCTTTTTTAATGGGATTTAATGTTCGGCTGAAACTGCTCTTCTAGTATCTGGTACTTTAACACTGCTGCTCTCATGTCAACAAGAATTAGGATTGTGGCGATTTCTGTGTAGAGAGTCAAGTTTTGTGGTAAAGTCTTGTTATAAATCTAAATCTTAGGCTTCATCAGATAATAAAAGACAAAAGAAAGAAAGGATAAATATTTTAGTCTCATTTCTCCCATTTGTATATTTGCAGTTCACTGATTAATGTGCAATCCTGGTACACTGCTGGTTTATATATTCTGTTCACACTGTATATTTCTATTCCATTCATATTTTTACATTTCCTCGAGTTTATATCGCATGAGAATTACATTATTCTATCTTAAATAAACCTCAAATTAAATGATCTCAGGATGAACTTTGCACATTTTGTGTCCCATAAATGTTTAAATAATTAAACTGGCTGAAATATGCCGGAACGATTCCTTCAAATACCAGCGTCCTTGTTTTTCTCCTCAGATAAAACATTGGCCTTGTCGCCCCAGCGTTGTGGTGGAGATGTCAACCTGGACCGAGGGCCTGTTGGCCAAGTTAGTCTCACTGTACCTGGACTTTTTGGTGGCACCCACAGGCTCAACTCCATGAACCACCTTTCGTTTTGCAATTGGACGATACGCATTCCTCCGGGTAGGACGTTACTTTTGAAGGTAGCAGGGTTGGAAGGTGATTCGAGGGTTTCGGTTCGCTGTGTTTGGAACAAGAAAGCTCATAATCAGGTCCTGGAGAGCACGGGGACGGCTCTGCTCTCTGGCTGTGACGGACACAAAGCCACCCTCTCTTGGACGGGAGCAGGACACTCCTCAAATGTAATCCAGCTGTCCTATTATGGTGAGAAACTGTTAACGCAATAACCCAGTTTGCCTTATTGAGTCAGTGTGGCCCCACTTGCCCGCACATACACCCCGATCACGAGAGTTTGATCTAATTGTCGTAATAACATTTTGAAGAGACTTGTTTTGGAGCTTCTGGCCTTTGCTGGAAAAAAGAGGAATGTTGTGGTTCCTCCTGTGGAAATGTATTGTTCAAAATGTGCTGTGAGCTGTAAATCTGTCAGTCGGAAAGTTCTTATCACGCTCGCTGTGGTGTGAGAGAGAGAGTGATGTTGTTGTGGTTTCCAGTCGGCCTCTGCTCACTCTGTCACCCTCTCTGTATTTTTTGTTTGTTCCTGGTTATCCAGTCCAGGAAGGTGAGAGGAATTCCTCGGAGGACCACACCAACCCAGATTCAGACGGAGACCTCCTACGCTGGTCTCGGACAGGAACCAGCTTTACAAGTCAAGTTAGTGAAAAGTCGGTAAGAGGGACAGAGGGGGTCAGAGGTCACCTCTACAAAGGTCTGGAGTGGAGTCCAGGACCTCGGTCTATGTCTGGTCCCTCCTCCCAGGGCACAGGGCTGCTGCACCCCACCTCACCCCTGCAGGGACTCAGTGTGACTGGGAGGGGAGCTCTCCCTCTTCCTGAGGAAAGACCAAACAATGGAGCGGATACATCTGGAGCCGCTCACCGCTCTGATGGGCCCATATCTGCAACACACCCCTATTTTCGCCATACAGACTCATCAAACACAGAAACAAACTCCAGCAACGAGCCCGATCAAACTCCCACCATTGCAGCAGCCAGGCGCTCCAACACCTTTCTTGGCACGGGCACGTACAAATACACAACGAGTCTCACACCTAAACACGCAGGTAAACATAAAACCACACAAGCTCACACCTCTCGATCCAGCTCCAACTATTTCCCGTCTCTCGCCTCTTCTTTCCCCGAGCTACGTTCACTGACAACCTGGGAGAGCGCCACCATCCTGATCCCACATGGTGCAGCTGTTAGTGGGACACCTGGAGAGAATCGGCCCCATTCCTGGAGAAGCCAACGAAGCACAGACGGAGAAGCTCAGACGTCAGCCATCACCTCTGACCCTTTTATATCACCCACCGACCCTCCTCAGGATGACGCAAGCAGTGCACGTACTTATAATCAGTCATTCGCCACCAACGTCACAGAGCCGGGCGCCGCTGTTAGCACTGTGGCTGCAGGGCCCTTTCATACGAACACAAGTCGGAGCGGCTCGTTTGAATCTGCCGCGTCAGACATTCCCAGTCGAGCTGCTTCTCTCGAGCCCTCTGACAAATTGGACAACGTGACGAAGCTTCCCATTTCTTCCACACAGAGCGAAACCAATTCTCCACGAAGCACAGAGGTTCTCACACGCTCTCCTCACGCACCCTCGGCATTCACACAGACGCACACAGGAACAGAAAGCACGCACACAATTGTCACGGATGCAAACACAGTCCCCTCCTTTACCGAGGCTGCAGACGACACTGCGAGTAAAACCTCAGCTTCCACTGAAAGTACCAGTGAAACGTTTACACTGCATCCCAGTGACACACTCCCACAAGAAAACTCCCCCACAGATTCACCTGTTCCTCCTTTGCAGACCAGCACGTTCCCACATCAGTCTGCACCATCACACACACTTACCATGATTTCTGGAAGTTCTCTCACCACTCACACACCCACGTCTCTCACGTCTGTCACCACGCCCACCACAGACCCTGACGACGAAACAGAGTCTACATCCTCACAAGCAACGACAATCAAATTTACACCCTCACACACACCTTTGCTGTCCTCCACTGGCGAGCCCGCTATGACTAAAAAGTCCCACGGCTCCATTACTACTGCACACTCGTCCCTCTCCTCGTCAACCGCTGCAAATTCAGATTATAGAGAAGTAGAAGTACAAGCAGAGGATGAGTCCAGGCAGCCGTTTCCCAGCAGCACAACCACACACACTCCCACAGCTGGAACACCACGGCCACCTCCACGACTGACAACCCTGTATCCCAGTCAGGAGACCGCCACCACCACGTCTGCCCTAACCTCCGCACCCACCCGGAGCTCCACAACTAGTCCGACGCCCAAGTTCTACATTGTTCCAGACCAGCCCGCAACTGTGAAAGGTAATGTGTTTCTGTGTTTCTCCCAAAATCCAGGCCCGGTGTAATGGATTTATTTGTTTGTTCCGTACAGTCGAGTCAATTGAGCTGCTGCTCCAGATGATCGTAGAAGAGTCCAGATCGGCTTTCACCGCTGGTTTGGAAGAAGACACCACTGCCTGGGTGAGTATGAGGACAAACACACTGGCATGCCTGAATCATCCTAATCACAAAAGTTCCTACTCCCTGCTTCTTCCAGATGGAGCCATATCTACAGAAAGCGCCAGGGTTCAGCAGGCTGCTGGGAGTCTGGAGCAGGTGAGGTGGTGCAGAGCGGAGTGTTGCTATTAAATTCATGTTCACGCCATTCCGCATTAAAGTCTCTGAAAAACGATTACAAATACAAGTGAAAAGTGCTTGGCTGTGGGGGTGTCCATCCACCTCTTTGACCCAGCTCAGAATATCTGAATTGATTCTTGATTGGCTTGATTTCTGTGAAATTTCTGACATGGTCATGGTGCCAGGAGGATGAATCAGAAGCCGTTTTCAGACCCAGAAAGTTGTGCCCGGACTTTTTTTAAGAGTTTGCTAAGAAGAGCGCCGCAGATTGTCTGAGTCAGACATGTTTTCCGGACAACATTCAGGCGAGGGGACCGTGCAGGAGGCGGGACGTGACCCATAAAGTCTCCTGCCAGAATCATGTTTTTGTTTTTTGCATCGACGCCAGCTTCAGCCCTTATCATGCTCGAATCTTGTTGTCTTTAGAAGTTGAAATCTTCATCCGTGTCTTTTTCATCCTGAGGTATTTATATTCTTCCAGTTTTGCGTCTGTAGTGCATTAAAAACATCATTAATACGCCCCCTAAACATTTTCCTGATGTATTCTCACATGGACTCACCGACATTTTCCGGGGGGCCTAGCAGGAAAAGTTCTGAAAAATGTCTGGAGCAACTGACTTGGACATTTACATTCTCGCAAACAGAACCTACGGAAACTTTCAGGAAAATGTCCGGGCTTCAGCGCATGTCTGAAAGCAGCTCTCCCAGGTCAAACCTATCTCAAATTCTGTCTGATGAATTGAATCGGCACCAAACGTGGTCGGTGGCTGCTCTAAGGTGAATGTACCGTTCTGCTGTCGTCCCAGTGGTCACGCAGTGCAGAGCTTGGTGGAGTTTAAAACCAGCGGAGCTCTGCAGTGGCTCAGCGAGACGGGACCCACGTCGCTGCTGGAGCGGACGGGACTCGCTCAGGCTGTTCGTGAGGGGAGGGGGTTCAGATCGTCCAAGATCACCAACGTCACGCTGGGAGGTGAGACTGTGCTGAGACGCCCACTTACTTCTAGTAAAGCTTCTTTTGGGACAGCGTGGCTCGTGCCCAGCCAGAGATGTTTGCTTCGTGCCATTCTCCACTTCTCTACTCTCTCTCTAGGTTAGCTCTTACACTCAGTGGTTTCATTTACCTGAGAGAAAATTCCATTCTTAACCTGCTTACTCAATAAAACCAATTACAGGAAGACTTATGTAAACATCATCACAATGTTAGATTGACTCACTCAATCTCATAATCCACTTCTGATAAATCTGATGAGTGATTGCTTACTCTGACATTACACTATGTATTCATCACACTCCTTTCTCTCTCCTGTCAATTTCACAATAACTCAAGGGTGTGTCTGCATTCTGATGCTGTCAGAACACATGATGTGAGGGGTAAACCATCCTCAGTCATTTATTTACTGGATCTATAGGTTGAAACGTATAATTATTGTCACATTTGATTGCAAGGTCTCACAGCATTTTACTAAAAAGGCAACTGAAACCTGTATTCAGTATTTTATTTACTTATTTCCTGAAACACATTCCCCATTATCTGCAATATTGTTTTAACATTGACATGCAAGCACACATATTTAAAGGATAATGTCGACAGTATTATCAATTAATGCTTCTGTACAGTCAACACACACCTTGATTTTAAAAAAAACAATAATACAAGCAAAAAAAAAATATGTTTGAGTTTTAAAAAATATACATCTGAGTCTGTAGGAATCGGTCTGGGGCAGAGAACCACAGACGGATGTGGGATGTAAAAATGACACCAACCTTTTCCTGTGACTCATCTACCCTGCAGGCGTGCAGGGTGACGTGTGTGACTGGTTACTGCAGTGCCCCTCAGGCTACAGATGTGTGGCCCAGCCTGGCATCGCAAACTGTTCCTCTGTCTGTCGCTTTGACCACTGCCACAACCACGGCATCTGCACACACCATCCAGGACAACTTCCAGTTTGCCGGTGGGAACACAACACAAACACACACTCATACAGGGGTGCTCTTACTTGTACACTAATTAACCATGTATATAT